CAAAGAGAAGGGTAACAGCCCCCGGACAAAAAAAAAAAAAAAAAAAAAAAAAATCTAGTGGGTGCTCTGTGCATACACTTAGAAGCACAAAGTCATTCTGCAGGGGTGTGACCTTGATCATTATGACTGAAAAAATGAAGAGTAATCAGAGCTTTATGTAGTCTCATTTGTGGGGTTGCCCATCATCTCCCCCCTTTTGTTTCTTTAGCATATTTTTTAAGGTTTGGTGAGCTCTTTCAACAAGGGTTCAGAATGAACAACCTTAGAAAGGATGAAAGGAGTAGTAATTAAAAAGTAGATAAAGTAATAGTACAAAGTAGTAGTTAAAAAACACCCACAAGAGCTCATCAGCTGGCCAAGATCCAAGGATTTCTCCTATAAAATCAGCTAGTGCACATTGTAGTGACACACACTATTGAAGCAAAGTTTCAGATTCCACATGAGGAATGGTAGTCTGAATAACCTGAGGATCGTAACCAGATAATTAACTCTTTCTGTCCATGACAATGAGAAGCCATGAACTTAGCATACGATGTGATTTTTTTTTTATAGACTCCATGGCTCAAAAAGAACCATTCTAAAATTTTTAACATAAGGGTCAACTGTCCAGTCCAATAGGTAAGCAGGGAATGGGAAAAAGAAATTGTTGAATCAGAAATTGTACATCTATACGATCTAGTTGACACTGTTGAATAGCTTGTTCCACCAGCTGTAACTCTTTTCACCTTCCAGGATTAATGTATTTGGTAGGGAAAGATCAGAATCACCCTGAGTAATATTAAATAGATGTGTGAATTGATAAGTGAGAGTTCCCAAACTGTGACAGAATCAAGTAATAACACCTAGCACTTTTTTGAAAACCCTTTAAAGTAGTCAACTGGTCCCTCCTAATAGAGGGCTTTGGGGGCTTGCTAGTATGCTCTATTAAAATGTAACACCAGTAATTCTAGGGGGAGGTTTCTTGGTACCTTATCAGGTAATACAATCAGCCCAAAACTTTGGACTTGTTCTAGCAGTTGATCATATAGCTTTAAAAGTGCCAGGGGGCCTGCAGTACTCAGTAAGATATCATCCATGTAATGAAAAATAATTGCTTGAAGCCACTATTGTCTGATTGGTGCTAGTGCCTGAATCACAAAAGTTTTACATATTGTAGGACTATTAAGCACACACTGGGATAGCACTTTCCATTGGAATCTCCAGGTAGGAGCTATGCTGGTGACAGAAGCAAGGATGAAATCAAACCTTTCACAATCTTGAGGGGCCAAAGGAATAGTAAAGAATCATCTTTTACATCAATCACTATCAATGGCCAATCTTGGGGAATTATAGATGGGGAAGGGAGCTCAGGTTGCAAAGCCCCCCAAATGACTGTATTTATCACATGGAGGTCTTGCAATAGTCTTCATTTCCCTGACTGTTTTTTAACACATGTGTAAATACCGAATAGTTTCTCTAGTATGAATAAACTATAATAGTACATAAGATCCCTGACTTTTTTGTATGACAAAAATAGGAGAATTCCAAGGACTGTGGGAAGCTTCTATATGTCCCTATTACAACTGCTCCTCTACTAAGAGGTGAACTTAATGTAATGTCTCTCTTTTTAGCAGCCACTGCTCAACCTAGACCAGCTTTTGTGTAAGCCAAGTGAGGACAAAAGGAGTAACAGCAGTGGCACCCATGCAAAAGATAGATTACCTAATGAAAAACACCACTGTTGTAATAGTTCTCTACCCCAAAGATTAATAGGTACATGAACATATATGATTGGATGAGCACTGTGTTTCCCTCTTGGCCAGTCACAGAGCCCATAGCACTGCTCTGGAGCATGGAAGACTGGGTTCCAATGTCTACTAGAAAAGAGGAGGATGTTTGGCAAGGCCAAGTTTGGGGCCATTTTTTTTTTCAATAATAGTAATATCTGTTCCTGTGTCCAGCAGTCCTAGGAAGCTGTTTTGTTTTGTTTTTTGAGGCAAGGTCTCACCACATAGTTCAGACCAGCTTTGAATTCACTAGGTAGCCTAAGGAACCCTCCAACTCATGGCAATCCTCCTGCCTCAGCCTTCCAAGTACTGGAGATATAGGTATGCACCACCACACCTGGCTAGGTTTTATTTTTTATCTTAACAGTCAGAGTAGGTTGAGAGGCACAGACTCCCCTCTCTGGTGCTACCAAATCCCTGATCTGCCTTTGTCCTATTTGTAGACTAAGGAACCCAAACGAGCAAGAGGAAGAGTTGAGTATTACAAACAGCACACATGAAGATACCTGAACACAGGCTTTTTGTAAACAATAAGAGCTAATTTATTCTACCTAGGTACAGGCAAACTGAGGTTGAGAAAGATTTGGGAGCCAGAGGCACCACAAAATGCTTTTTGACTTTATTCTTATACCTTTTCAGTCAATAGGAACAAGAGCCACGTGAACTAGCCTCCATGTCACCAGGCTGGCAAACAAAAACTTTTCTTCTTCTTAAACTCTCTTCAGGTTGTCTTTAACTCTATCCCATATTTCTAGGTCTAAGGTACCACCATCAGGAAGCCACAGGTTATGTTGAAGCACAAGGTATAAAAGCTTAACAAAGTGTTGTCTGGTGACTAAAGCATTGGCCGGCTTCAACAGCTGGTATAAATCCTTGATGTAACACTTTTACTCTGATGTTAATGACTGCACCACTGTTGCCCTGACTGAAAAGAGTTCCAAAGGGGTGGAAAGTCTCTAATCAAAGATCTGCTTACAAGCACTCCTTACAGTTTCATCTTTCTTTGGCTTTGTCACTCACGGTCACAGCAGCTAAAGATCCCTGTTCAGGTCCCTGTAAAGGTCCCTGCTTGCCCAGTTCAGGCCAGCAAACCCTGTCAGAGAGACAAAGGAAGATATGAGAGACAGAATATGGGGGTGGGAGGGCACTTCACCAGAACTGAGTAAAGCCTTGAACTGACTCAAATCCCCAGATTAATTGAGGAACAACAAAAGTGTAATTCTACTGAGCACAGATGACTGTTTTAAATAGCAAGACAGGCAAGCAAAGTATGTTGACAGTTTGGCTGAATCATCAACTTTTATCTGACTCTCCCCTAGGAAGCTGCCCTGTTTTCCCCATAAGGCCCATCTCTGTTTGAACTGGCAAAACATCCCATCTTCAAGACTTTTCGGTTCCTTGGAGTTAGCAGTCTTCCACCAACCCAGAGACAACCTGAGTAGACTTTGACACATTAGGTGTCACAAGGAATGCCACATATGCCCACCTGGATTTTTTAAAAGGTACAATTTGTTGTATGCCTTTCAATAAATGGTTCTGGAGCAACTGGACATCCACAGTTTAAAAAATGAAACTTGTCCTATATCTTACTCTTTATATTAAAAAATAACTCAAAATAGATTACAGACTTCAATGTAAACTATAAAACTAAAAACTTTTAGGGGCAGCAAAGGAGAAAATCTGATATTTAAAAAAAAAAACTAGGCTGAGATTAAAAAAAAAATAACCAGGCTGAGTTCTTAGGCTTGACACCAGAGCATAATTTATAACAGGGAAAAAATGATGAATTAATACTTACTGAAATAAAAACTTCTGCTCTGTAAAATTCTTGTTAGTAAACTGAAAAGACAAGATGAAATATTCAGAAAAATACTTTTTTTGTTCTTGTTGCTACTGGGAATTGAAGTTGGGCCCTTGTGCTTAAAAGGCAGGTGGTGGAACCACTAAGACAAATCCCCGGCCTGAGGAAAATACTTCTTAATCATGTATCCAACAAAGGATTAGTGTCATACAAAGAATGCTCAAATTTGACATTAAAAGAAAAAACAATGTAATTAGAAAATGAGGAAAGGATATGAGAAACATTTTACTGAGAAAGATATATAAAAGCAAATAAGTACATGGAAAGATCATTAACCATTAGGAAAAGGCAAATCAAAACCATAATGTGATAACACTTACATATCTATCAATATGGCTAAGATAAAAAAATTTTGTTTAAGTGTTAACATCTTGTAACCAGCTCCTTCCCCCTGGGATCCTGTCCTGAGGGCAAAAAAGAATGACATGACAGGACAGCAAGATATGGTGAACAGAACCAGGTGTGGTTTTTTAGAAAGAACAAAGAAAAGCCTTTGCTAGAAGAGGGAGGCAAGGAGCCAAGGAAGTCTGAATCTAGAAGCTTATATACAACTTTTGCGCATGAAAGGGCAGGCAAAGGGGCATGGGATATGTAAAAATGCAGGTTGATTGTGACTGCCAAGCTTTTCATCTTCAGAAAATTTTTATCTCACCTTCAGAAGATAAGAAGGCTTATCTCACCTTGCCAATAGTTTACTCAGGTTTTTGTACTATACAATGTCCCTTTATTTCTTAGTCTAATCTGAATAGGAAACAGAGAGGTGAGAACACTTATCATTTTTTTTTTAATGAAAAGAAGTACAGTAACTTTGGAAAACAGTTTGCCAGTTTCTTCTACAAGTAAAAATGTATCTATCATATGTAGCAACCGAGCAATTAAGCATTTGAGCAGTTGAACATTGGGCATTTATTCCAGACAGATACATACTTATATTCATGAAGAAAATCTTCACATAAGTGTACAGGCTTGATATACTCAACAACTGAACTGATTGCGAGACAATTAAACCAACTGGAAAGATCTCATGTCAAAAGCAACTTTCTAATTATATAAATAAAAATGCTATTTTATAACTACATAAATAAAACTTTATATAACCTTCTTTACCATCATCCTAAAGATTAAGAACATATCAGTGGTTCCCATGACTTTAGGTATCAGGGAAAAGGGATTGCGGCAATTCAGAATTTTGCTTAAAGAAACTTTTTAGTTATGTACCACCTCTGTACTTTATAGTAGAAGATACACAGAGCTGTGCACACAATAAAACCTCACAGCACTACACATACACATATACACACACACACACACACACACACACATACACACACGGCATATAAAGCTGATGAAATTTTACTATGTTCTATGTCAAATTCCTGGTTTTGATATGGCATAGTTGTGCAAGTTGTCAACACTAGGAGAGGTGAATTAAAAGGTGCCCAAGAATTTCACATACATTTATTTGCAACTTCTTATTACTCTAACATTTAATAACAGAAAGGAAAAATTTAAAAATGAGCTAGATGACACAAAGACTAATAAATTGGAATTAGTGAAAAGACAAAATAGCACAAATGGCATAAAAATTGGTTTACAGAAATGACAGCAGAAAACTTTCCAAATACGGGGAAAGAATTAAGAATATAGATAAGTGAGGCATACAATATTCCAAACAGCCAAAGTCAGAAAAGAACTCCCGGGAATGGTAGTGAACACCTATAATACCAGCACTCAGGAGGCTGAGGCAGGATTGCTGTGAGTTCAAGACTAGCCAGGCTATATTGTGAGTTCCAGGTCAGTCTCAACTACACAGTGAGACCCTGTCTCAGTTAATTAAAAAAAAAAAAGAAAGAAAGAAGAAAGAGAAGAACTTTTCCACAACACATCAAAGTCAAAATTCCAGAAGTCCAACACAAGGACAGAGTCCTAAAAGCTATTAGAGAAAAGCAACAAATCACTTGTAAAGGTAAACCCATTAGAATTATAGCACACTTCTCACAACACAAACCTGAAGGCCAAGAAAGCTTGGAGTAAGGTGTTTCAAAACTGATGGAGAAATAAGTTCTTCACATGACAAACAGCACCTTAGGAAATTCATGACCATCAAAGCAGCACTCCAAAAACTTCACAAGGATATCCTAGAAAGAGACAATAAAACCAACAGTGCCAAAAAGTCTAATAGAATGAATATATCAGGCAGGCTGAACAGTTTACTTGATGGGAAATAAAGAAATCAGCAACAAGACAATAATGCAATGACAGAAATAAGTCAACACCTTTTTGTAGTAACTTTCAATGCAAATGGTCTTAATTCCACAATGAAAAGACATGGACTGGCAGAATGAATCAAGAAACAAAAATGATATGCTGTATACAAGAAATACATTTAATCCAAAAAAACTCACTGAATAAAAATCAAGATGGAAAATAATATACAATATTTTATGCAACAGGAACCCCAAAACAAGCAAGAAAAATTCAATACTTAGAAACTGAGCTAACCAAGGAAGTAAATGACCTCTGAAGTAAAACTATGAGGATTATGAAAAAGAAGATTGAAGAAGAGATCAGAAAATGAAAAGATATCCCCTCAACCCTGGACACTCAGAATGAATATTATCAAAAACAGCCATACTTCCAAAACTGATAGACAGATTCAGTGCAATCCCATCAAAATACCAAAAGCATTCCTTATAAAAATAGAGAAAACAATCCTAAAATTCCTGTTACATTGTTGTTTGGAATGTAAATGAATACAACCAGTATGGAAATCAGTTTGACAATTCCTCAAAAAAATAAAACTAGAAATTCCATTTGACCCAGCTATTTCCTTTCTAGGTATCCTCTCCAAAGTTAAAGATATCATATTACAGTGATGCATGCATACCCATGTCTATAGCATAATAGTTAAGTCTTTCAAGCAGCCTATATGTCCATCAACAGATAAACACATAAAGTATGGTATTTATACACAATGGAATACTACTCTACCATAAAAAGGATAGACCTGAGTAATTTGTAGTAATGTTAAATACTGAATCATTTCTCTATGAGAAACCCAAAATATAAATAAAGAGCAAAATAAAAGGTAGATAATAGGAAAGGAAGAGACAAGCCTTTCGCAAAGGGGAAAGGGACCAAGAGAATGAGGGAGGCAGCAGGAAGGGGAAGGAAGGGAATGAAAATAGAATTAAGGATCCGGGGATTTAACTCTGAGGTTCCACCACCTGTCTCACAAGCACAAGGTCCCGAGTTCGATCCCTGATACCAAAAGAAGAGAAAACAGAATTAAGATGTGTTATGTACATGTGCCAACTACTGCCCATGAGGAATGTAATTATTATGCACTGCAAATATATACCAATAAAAATTAAAGTTTGAAAAGATGACTCCTGAAAAAAAAACTTCCCTATGTAGTTAGTGTCAAAATTCAGTTGAGCTAGAAATATTCTGGCAAGACAACCACGATGACAGCATAGGTCGTCAATCACTTTGAATGTCCACATAATACTAATAAACAAGTAGAGAAGAAAACACCCATGGATAACTCTACAATAAAACTTAGTAACAAGATGTTCTCCACCACATCTTTCTCTAAGTGGAGAGTGTAGGAACAAATTCCAAAAAGGTAAAGATGTAGTCTTCCACTCAGGAAGAAGAAAGCAATAAATCATCTTTCAAACTTGAGAACAGGAGAGTCACAAAACAGCTAATGATTTGGAAAGCACAGAGGCCAATTTGTGAATCGTAGCTAATAAATATTGTGAGGTATTTGCTGAATACAGGACAGGTGAGTACAAAAAAATCTGTAGTCAGAAGGACTGAATGGGCTGAAATGTCTAGCCAAAATGAAGTACCCAAGCTGACATGCTGGACCACCCTTCTAGGACCTGAAGTGAGGAAAAATCACCAGGAGTGGAATCAAAACTAAAGTGAACAGAGACAACAGAAATAAAGAGATCTAAAATAAAGTGGGATGGGGAATCTAGTACATCTGAGAAATCCAGCTGTCATATTTAAACATTATATAACAGAGAAGAAAACTATGGAACTTAAAAATTTTTCCTCCACCTGCTATCATTTTTCTCATTGAGTTTATTGGTACTTTTTAAGTATATAGTACAGTTACATTTATCATTTGGATCTTGTACCCTTACATGACAGGTCTTGGTTCTCATTTTTCCCCTTACCCCTGCACTCCCTTCACCCCCTCCCCTATTTACAAAGACTTTGTTTCCATTTTTTCCTTTTGTCATATTTTTTCTTGTCCCTTATTTCCTTTCTTCTACTCTTCCCACTTCCCCTACACCTTTAGCCCTTTTCTTCCTATTTCACATTGTCAGTTATGGGGTGAAGTGGAATCTCAGTGTTTTCATCTGTATCTCTAGAATGACCAGTGATGTGGAACATTTTTTCATATATTTACTTGCTGCTTTTACTTCTTTGTCTGAGAAATGTCTCATTTCAGATGCCCATTTCTGAATCAGGTCTTTGTATTTGGGAGGCTGATTGTTTTTAGTTCTTTATATATTCTAGATAATAGTCCTTTGCCTGAGGAGCAGCTGGTAATTTTTTCCCACATTGTAGGTTGTCTCAGTTCTGTTGATGGGTTCTTTTGCAGTGCAGAAGCTTTTTGATAAGATGAGATCCCAGTTGTTGATTCTTTCTGCTAGCTCCTGTGCTACTTAGGATTTGTTCATAAATCTTTTCCTATGCCAATGTCTTCAAGAGTTCTGCCTAAGTTATCCTGGAAGACATTGGTATAGGAAAAGACTTTATGAACAAATCCTCAGTAGCACGGGAACTAGCAGAAAGAATCAACAACTGGGATCTCATCCTACTAAAAAGCTTCTGTACTTCAAAAGAAACCATTAGCAGAACTAAGAGACAATCTACAATGTGGGAAAAAATTTTTACCAGCTGTACCTCAGACAAAGGACTATTATCAAGGATATATAAAGAACTCAAAACAATCAGT